AAGTAACCCCAGTCATTCCTAGTCATCCCATACATCCCTAGTTATCCCTAGTCATCCCAAGTCATCCCAGTCATCCCTAGTCATACCTAGTCATCCTTAGTCATCCCAGTCATCCCTAGTCATCCCAAGTCATACCAAGTCATCCCACTCATCCCTAGTCATCCCAAGTAATCCCAGTCATCCCTAGAAATCCCTAGTCATGACTGGTCATCCTAGTCATCCCTAGTCATCCCAATTCATTCATTGTCATCCCTAGTAATCCAAGTCGTCCCTTGGCATCCCAAGTAATCCCTGTCTTTTCTAGTCATCCCTAGTCATCCCTACTCATCCCAGTCATCCCTAGTCATCTCTAGTCATCCCAGTCATCGCTAGTCATCCCTAGTCATGCCTAGTCATCCCAGTCATTCCTAGTCATCCGTAGTCATCTTAAGTCATCCCAAGTCATCCCAGTCATCCCTAGTCATCCCTAGTCATCCCTAGTCATCCCAGTCATCCCAAGTCATCCCAGTCATCCAAGTCATCCCTAGTCATCCCAAGTATTCCCGGTCATCCCTAATCATCCCTAGTCATCCCTAGTCATCCCAGTCATCCCTAGTCATCCCTAGTCATCGCAGTCATCCCTAGTCATGACTAGTCATCCTTAGTCATCCAAAGTCAGTGCAGTCATCCCTAGTTATCCCAGTCACCCCTAGTCATCCCTAGTCATCCACGTCATCTCTAGTCATCCCATTATTATCATTGTTATTATCATTATCATTGTTGTCTATCCATCTATCTATCTATCTATCTAGTCATCCCTAGTCATCCCAGTCATCCCTAGTCATCCCTAGTCATCGTAGTCATTCCTTGTCATCCCTACTCATCCCAGTCATCCCTAGTCATCCAAAGTCAGTCCAGTCATCCCTAGTCATCCCAGTCATCCCTAGTCATCCCAGTCATCCCTAGTCATCCCTAGTCATCCCTAGTCATCCCAGTCATCCCTAGTCATCCCTAGTCATCCCTAGTCATCCCAGTCATCCCTAGTCATCCCTAGTCATCCCTAGTCATCCCAGTCATCCCTAGTCATCCCTAGTCATCCCAGTCATCCCTAGTCATCCCTAGTCATCCCTAGTCATCCCAGTCATCCCTAGTCATCCCTAGTCATCCCAGTCATCCCTAGTCATCCCTAGTCATCCCTAGTCATCCCAGTCATCCCTAGTCATCCCTAGTCATCCCAGTCATCCCTAGTCATCCCTAGTCATCCCTAGTCATCCCAGTCATCCCTAGTCATCCCTAGTCATCCCAGTCATCCCTAGTCATCCCTAGTCATCCCTAGTCATCCCAGTCATCCCTAGTCATCCCTAGTCATCCCAGTCATCCCTAGTCATCCCTAGTCATCCCTAGTCATCCCAGTCATCCCTAGTCATCCCTAGTCATCCCAGTCATCCCTAGTCATCCCTAGTCATCCCTAGTCATCCCAGTCATCCCTAGTCATCCCTAGTCATCCCAGTCATCCCTAGTCATCCCTAGTCATCCCTAGTCATCCCAGTCATCCCTAGTCATCCCTAGTCATCCCAGTCATCCCTAGTCATCCCTAGTCATCCCTAGTCATCCCAGTCATCCCTAGTCATCCCTAGTCATCCCAGTCATCCCTAGTCATCCCTAGTCATCCCAGTCATCCCTAGTCATCCCTAGTCATCCCAGTCATCCCTAGTCATCCCTAGTCATCCCAGTCATCCCTAGTCATCCCTAGTCATCCCAGTCATCCCTAGTCATCCCTAGTCATCCCAGTCATCCCTAGTCATCCCTAGTCATCCCAGTCATCCCTAGTCATCCCTAGTCATCCCAGTCATCCCTAGTCATCCCTAGTCATCCCAGTCATCCCTAGTCATCCCTAGTCATCCCAGTCATCCCTAGTCATCCCTAGTCATCCCAGTCATCCCTAGTCATCCCTAGTCATCCCAGTCATCCCTAGTCATCCCTAGTCATCCCAGTCATCCCTAGTCATCCCTAGTCATCCCAGTCATCCCTAGTCATCCCTAGTCATCCCAGTCATCCCTAGTCATCCCTAGTCATCCCAGTCATCCCTAGTCATCCCTAGTCATCCCAGTCATCCCTAGTCATCCCTAGTCATCCCAGTCATCCCTAGTCATCCCTAGTCATCCCAGTCATCCCTAGTCATCCCTAGTCATCCCAGTCATCCCTAGTCATCCCTAGTCATCCCAGTCATCCCTAGTCATCCCTAGTCATCCCAGTCATCCCTAGTCATCCCTAGTCATCCCAGTCATCCCTAGTTATTCCTAGTCATCCCTGGTCATCCCTAGTCATCCCAGTCATCCCTAGTCATCCCTAGTCATCCCTAGTCATCCCAGTCATCCCTAGTCATCCCTGGTCATTCTTAGTCATCCCAGTCATCCCTAGTAATCCCTAGTTATCCTTAGTCACCCCAGTCATCCCTAGTCATCCCTAGTCATCCCTAGTCATCCCAGTCATGCCTAGTCATCCCTAGTCATCCCTAGTCATCCCAGTCATCCCAATCATCCCTAGCCATCCCTAGTCATCCCAGTCATCTCTAGTCATCACTAGTCATCCCTAGTCATCCCTAGTCATTCCTTGTCATCCCAGTCATCCCTAGTCATCACTAGTCATCCGAAGTCATCCCAGTCATCCCTAGTAATCCTTAGTCATCCCTAGTCAGCCCAGTCATCCCTAGTCATCCCTAGTCATCCCAAGTCATCCCTAGTCATCCCTAGTTATCCCTAGTCATCCAAAGTCAGTTCAGTCATCCCTAGTCATCCCAGTCATCCCTAGTCATCCCTAGTCATCCAAGTCAACCCCAGTCATCCCAAGTCATCCCAGTGATCCCTAGTCATCCCTAGTCATCCCAGTCATCCCTAGTCATCCCTAGTCATCCCAGTCATTCCTAGTCATGCCTAGTTATCCCAGTCATCCCTAATCATCCTTAGTCATCCCTATTCATTCCTAGTATTCTTATTCTTCCCTAGTCATCCCAGTCATTCTTAGTGATCCCTAGTCATCCCTAGTCATCGAAGTCGTCCCTAGTCATCCCAGTCATCCCTGGTCATCCGTAGTCATGGCTAGTCATCATAGTCATCCTTAGTCATCTCTAGTGATCGCAGTCATCCCTAGTAATCGCTAGTCATTCCCAGTCATTCCTAGTCATTCCTAGTCGTCCCTACTCATCCTTAGCTACTGATCCCAGTCATCCCTATTTATCCCTAGTCATCCTAGTCATACTAAGTTATACCAGTCACTTCTGTCACCCCGGTCATGCCTTGTCGTCCTAGTCATGTTTGTCATGCTAGTGACTCTGGTTAACTCAATCTTCCAAGTGCAGTCATTCCAGTGATATCAGTCATTCTAGTCACTATTGTAACCCTCCTTTTCCTAATTATCTATATCATCAGTCCGCGCTTGTATAGAAGCCTTTTCTTAGATTAAAAGATTTTAAAGAGATAACAAAGTTAAATGAACTGATCATTTTAAAGTTTTGCTTTTAAATTATTATTTACTTTTTTTTCCTAATCATTACCGTTTTGATTTTTGTTATTACGAAGTGTTATTTTTGTATCTTCGACGTTTACAGGTACGAACGTACGTACCTTGCCTATGGGTAGCTTCGGCTCTGAGTCTGAGCTCTCTTACAACCAGCCCCGTCAAAATTTCCCGCAATTGGAACTTTTTGTTTCTTATTCACGAAACAAATTGAACGTTCGCTAACTAAAAAATCAACTCGCATGTGATACAAGATGGTGTAGATTTTCTCACGAAATCGAGACAGTGAAAAATAGTTTAAACGGTAGACATACTTGTTCTTCGGAGATTTTTTGGATTTAACTTACCATGGAACTTCCTCAAGTAAGATCTTATGAACAAGAAGATCTGTTTCCTTTTCTTTAAATTCGAATTTGTTCTCCGCCAACCTAAGATAAGAATGCAAATGATCTGAATCTGATCTGAATATTGCACCCGAAAAACCCAACAACTTATTCGCTGACACCGGTCATTAACTTAACATTTCCAGAACCCTAACCATTGTCTTTAAACCATGGAAATTTTTGAACTCTTTTCATTATTCTCGAGTGACTTTTACCGTGCCCAAGGATGCCCCTATGTTATTTTAATTACAGTCGAGCCTCCCCCAACGGCTGGCTCTCCACAACCGCCACCTCTCTACAAGGGCCACTTTTTTGGCGGACAGTCCTTACATTGACTCTTGTTTAAACTTTTCTACAACGGCCACTTTCTTCTATCCCCAAGGTGGCTGTTATGGAGAGGTTGAACTGTTCAGTAAATATGTTGCTTTTACTTTTTCTAATATCATTATTATTATTAATTATTATTATTAAAAACTACTATTATTAATTATAAATTAATTAATTGAAAATTATTATTAATAATTAATATTAGTTATAATTAATAAATATTATTAATTAATTATTAATATTAATTATTAATGATAATTAATTATTATTAAATATTATTATTATTTTCTAATATACGTACCATTTTGCACAGTCAAGAAAGTCGTTGGCTACAGACAAGTGAAGTAAGCTGGGCGGGTTTTTCTGTAATATACAGAGAGGGCATCGATAAGCATTCGAATCTAAAATATTTGTGCAGCCTGCTTTGCAGAGGGTTTCGTTTTTTTTTTCTGATAGACTCTGGGAGCAAAAATGACATTGAAGATTGGTAAGCTAAGCGCTTTGTGATCGGTTGAGATGTCCGGTGCTTCTTTTTCAACCAATCAGAGGGGTGAGACCTTCCTCACGTGGGGGGTGTGCTTTCCTTTAAACTATTTGTTGGTCTCTCAGATTGGGTAATGCGATACGCACGCGATGTGTTTGGCGTGGTTGACATTGCAATGTGCAGAAAAAAACCGCTGGGTAATTGTCGCTTTTAAGTACCTCACTCTCCATTTCCAAGTTTCGTTTTATGCTCTCTTCAGTGTCAAAGAACAGCAAGGCTTGAATGGCGTCCATCCGACCTTGCATGGCACATCAGTG